GAGTCAGTCTCGACGGCGCCATGCATCGTCCGGGACCGCCCTCTGCAGCCTCCGCCAGTGCCTGCAGTCCTCCAGAGTCCTTAAATGCCTGGGAGAGTACACGTGATATCTAAAGCCCCTCAAACTTAGCTGAAAATCCTTAAGGCCTTATTTAAGGTCTTAATTAAGGCCTTACCTTTTAAGGCTTAGCCCTTCGGGCGAACACTGATTTGCAGCGCCTTCTAGATTTTTGCTATCACTTTGCAGATTTAGCCGAGGACGGTGACTGATGCGACGACATCTGATCTGACGCAAGCCCTCGAGCCGCTGGTATGCCTGAATTGATGCTGGAAAGGGGGGAAGTACTCGGGAAGTCTCGATATATCCCATCACCAAAAAATAATGGGTTTGGAAGCATTCCTCGTCGAGTTTCTGCGATGTTGTCTAGTCTCGGCGATGTTTCCATTTTGAACGTCGCTCTTCCCATTTCGGGCATCACAGATGTTTGCAATCAGCCATCACTTTTTTGCATATTGCTCCGAAGGACTGAGGGAAGAAAGTAAAGCGAGCTTTCCAGATATGCCAAAGCATCGGACCTGTCCAATCCTAATTGTTGAACGTTGAATTTCGGACCTGAAATCGACTTACTTAATACCAACTTGAATCGGACGGGTCGGATACATTAGAAAGGGATGGATTGAACGCGGGAAGGCCGGATGTAACAATGGAGACGGGGCAAGATGCTTTGAACGATTCCAAAGAGAGTAATCCGGCCATTGTCACATGCAGAATCAAGATGTTTCCGAGATACAGAAAGACAGAAAGCACTCCGATTATCGATGCCGAAACTGCCTTCTGATTCAAGAGCTGTGCGAATGCCGATCCAAGACCCGACCACGCCGCATGATTATTATGAGTTGCCATAAGAGTTTGATTTATGTGGAGGCTCCGTCGCATGGAGAAAATTTGTGTAACGAAGACCAAAAGCGCGCAATAAATCTGGCATAGATCAACGACATTGTACACACGGCCAGGGAAACTGCACGTCCCGTTCCGAAACCAGTCGCAATTGCGGTGAGCAAGAATTGATCTGGCGGCAACCACAAGCCGGTGCCACGCGACTCGGCAGGAGTGCTTCTTGGAAGTGCCGGGAGCCGTTTAGGTGAAGTCTCGGCACAGGATGGACATTTCGGCTGATAGAAGAGCGCCGGTTTAGATTCCTTGCCGGACGATTGCTGCCTACAGCCGACATCAAACCGTATAGCCGTATACAAACCGTATACGGGTCCGCCGGTACGGTTCTGTACGGTTGCAACCCGTCCCGCACCCGTACCGTACAATCACCTCGAACCCACCCATACGGTACGGGTACGGTGCTTGCCTTACGACCGTAAATGGTTGCGGATGGCGAACATGTGGGTTAGCGCGTACGGTGGTAAAGCAGGAGGACGCGGAGGATGGAAGAACGAGAGGTGATGGAAAGACGGGGCAGGAAGCGCGGGAAGACGCCGCGGGAGGAGTGGATGAACGGGGGTGGGAAACGGGCAAGCAAGATGAAGAAGAGACGAAGAGACAGTGCGAGAAGAGAGGCCACGGCAGACGAGACGCCAACGAGGGAGCGCGAGCAGACAGTGGCGCCGGTCGAGGGGCGCGGAATGGAGACAAGGACAGGAACGAGGATGAAAATTGGAGGCCCGGGGAGCACGGACGACGGGGACGCGGGGGTGGGAAGAGCGAAGGCGAGCGGGAAGTACATGCGGGGCGGAAAGGCGGGAGGAGGACGCCGCGAGGCGGAGGCATGATGGAGACGATACCCAACGGGAGGCGCGCCAGGGCGGAATGTAGGAGAAGTTGGTGGAGTGCGCAGGATGAGGGAGGAGTGCATGGACGTAGATGTGGGCGGCGGTGAAGCAAGGAGCATGAAGAGCGACGAAGGGAAGGACGGGTGCGGGACGGGGATGGGCAGATGAGGCGCGAGGACGAGACGAGACGATCGATGCGCCGTAGGACGGCGCGGGCGGCCATGAAGACGCGCATGGGAGGGATGAGGCGCAGAGGAAGGTGGGATGAGCGGATAAGCGACTCGGCTCGCAAACGCAGGATGGGAAGGGGACATAGGAAGGGAGGAGGACGTGGGCAGGGGGACGGACGACGCGCGCGCATGAGACGAGGACTGGGGAGGGACGTCCGTGTGGCGGAAAGCGGGCGGGGAGCAGCGATGGGCGTGCACGTGGCAAGTGGATGGAACGCGATGAGGAAGGCGCACGACGCAAGAGCGTGCCAAAGAATAGAGCCAACCACTCACGACAGATCCCCATCCAAAACCGCGTCTCGATGATCGCGGTGCTCTTGGCGCGCGCGCGGAGGACGTCTGCGGTGGATCGACGCGAAGAAGCTGCGACTAGCGGAGCTGTTGAGATTACAACTGCTGTGCATGCACTGCCTGCCCACTTCAACAGCTCGGCTCAACAGCATTCTTTACAGCTCACCGTTTTAGTATTCCTTCCACAGTTCTTTACAGCAGTTTTACAGCCCTTCAAAGTATATATATTCGTGTACATGTTTGAATGAATTCCCCGCGCGTTTGCAACGGGTTCGCTGCTTATTTGGAATCTCCGACTTGATATCCAACAGGAGCGAGGCTAGCAAGGAAGCGAGGAAGCGAAGGACCCAGTAACTCAATAAGAGGAAGAGGAAGAGGAAGAGAGGGAGAGGGAGAGGGAGCAAAGGAAGTTCAAGAGGAAGAGAGGAGAGACCACGTGCTCCGAGTCTCGTGATTTCGCCTTTACCACAACCGTCATGTCCTCGAGGTTTCGTCCCTGCCGCCAGCCCTCGAAACGCTGCCTTGCTCGGTCTCCGAGCGAGGGACTCATTCTTAGCACATGGAATTGTAACAGACGCCGAGCGGCGGCCCCTATCAAGGCTAGTATAAATGCCACCAATTTTTTTTCCTCCAATCTACACAAGAGGGTTTGAAAACCCGAAAAATGCACCAGGGGTCGGTTTTTTTTTCTCAGAGGGTCGGGGGTACTCCCCCCCCTACGTAAGCGATTTGTAAGCAGCACGTGGGCTCCGCTTAGGCAAAAACGTACCAGAGTCCGCACTTTTAGCATCTGTGCCATTTAAATCATCCTGAGCACTCTTTGGTTGGTTTTCCAGAGCAGCAATATATGCTGACATTCAAAAGACTCATTGGCGGAAAGCGCCGAGATCAATACACGTGATGATTTTCCCTCTGCCGAGTGGCTGTACCCCCCTCCAAATGCAGTAATAATGTTTTGGTCTCTAACTCGACGACCACGGAACCGTTCACTACGGGACCACGATTTTCGGAATCCTTGCTGAAAATCAGATCAGAAAGGGACCTCATATAAAAAATCCGTATTTCGGAAGCCCCTTGAATCTACATCTCGCCTCTGTCGTAATCAATTTAACGCGCGATGTCGGCGCGCTAATCTGCCTGTTTGTGCCTCCCGCTGCGTTACGGAATGTCATTGCCACACTGGCACGAATCTACAGACTACTAGAGCAAGACTAGAGGATGTTTGAAGGCCCGATCAATGCCATGGGCAATACAGCCAAGGGCGCAGGCACTTTATCGAACGAGGAACGAGTTAGGATCGATAAAGCGTCTGTCAAGAGAGACTACGCAGGCACAGAGAATATGGATTCTGGAGTACATACAAGCATTTCTCTTTCCTTCAGCTGGAAAAATTGATCATTCACCGAAGCTCACAGATAGCAGAAAAAGGGCCGGTAGCGGACGGTCCGCGCCTGCACTCAATTCATCGTTTCGGAGATGATTAAGAAGTCAGCAGGAGATGCTCGTTCGACTCGAGCCCGGGCCATTCGCCTGTAGGTGTGCCTTCTTTGAGGGTCCACATCTGCACTCAATTTCCAAAGTATTCCATAAAGAATACAGTGTCTGCAGGAGCCGCTCGTTCGACTCGAGCCCGGGCCATTCGCCTGTAGGTGTGCCTTCTTTTTAGACTGTACCGAAATTGCTGAGTAAATGAGGTGAAAGGGAGGAGAGGAAGGCCCGGTAGCAGACGGTCTGCACCCGCAATCAATAGAAACACTCCCCGGTTTCTGCAGGAACGCTCGTTCGACTCGGGCCTGGGCCATTCGCTCCTCCACATTCTTTTTGAAAATCCCGAGATACAGGAGAGTCCGAAGGGAGGAGAGGAAGGCCCAGTAGCGGACGGTCCGCACCTGCATCAATTTGCTTGAGAGTATGCAAGTCAGCAGAACGCTCGTTCGACTCGAGCCTGGGCCATGCAAGCTGTTCGAGTCGGTTTTTTTTTTCTCTCCTGTTTTCAACCAACACTCGAAGCCAGGCCGTATCGTGGATTTTGTGTTAAAAATTCCGTCTACCCTAGGTCTGCACGCAATAGAAAAAACTACAACGGAGACTACGGAGTAAGTAGAAGGTCGTGGTGAGTTGACGTCAAGCTCTTCAAGTTGTTCAACACTGTTCCAACGTCATGTCCTAACCAGGTTCACAGGTGGATTGAAAAGGCCCAGTGGCGGGGGGTCCACATCTGCATTCAATTCTCAGGGATGATATTGATGCAGGAGACGATGCTCGTTCGACTCGAGCCTAGGCCATAGCCGTCTACCTTCTCTTTTTTTATCTGTTTGCGCAAAATTCTGATCTATCCGAGTTTAGAAAGGAGATTAGAAGGCCCAATAGCGGACGGTTCCGCGCCTGCATGCAATTCACACTTGAGAGGAAATCAGCAGAAGACACCGAGGCTCGGCCATTCTGGAGTACAAGTATTTCTTTTTCCTTCAGCTGGAAAAATTGCTGATTCACCCAAGCTCACTGATAGCAGAAAAAGGCCCAGGAGCGGATGGTTTTCGCACCTGCTCCCAATTGTGCGGCTACAGTGAGGTCTCAGCAAGAGGTGTTCGTTCGACTCGAGCCTGGGCCACCCCCAGTTTCATCCTTTTTTGTTTTGTTTTGGCAGCGGAGAAATCGCTGGGTATTAATAAAGGAAGGTGAAAAAGGAGCATGAGAAGGCTCGGTAGCGGATGGTTTCCGCGCCTGCTTCATATTCTTGGGAATATTCAACTTCAGCAGGAGAACGCTCGTTCGACTCGAGCCTGGGCCATATTCATTCGAATGCTCTTTTTTTATCTGCCGAAGCACAAGATTCTAAGATAGAGGAGTAAGTAGGGATGGGAGAAAGGCCCGGTAGCGGGAGGTCCGCACCTGCACCCAATTGGGGTATGAAGAAGAGAATGTATGCAGGAGACGCTCGTTCGACTTGAGCCTGGGCCCTGTGCTTTTCAAATAGGCTTTTTTAGCAGCACGAAGAGAATTTGGCAACGGAGATGGTTTATAAATGCTAGGTCCAAGGTACGCAAAGCAAGGCCCGGTAGCGGACGGTTTCCGCACCTGCTTCCAATTGTGCGGCTATAGCGAGGTCTCAGCAGGAGAGTGCTCGTTCGACTCGAGCTCGGGCCATTTTCCGTATCCTCGAGAGTTTCTTTCTGTGGCTGGGTCGAAATCGTTGGGTAAAGGAAGGTGAAAGGAGAGAGGAGGAAGCCCCGGTAGCGGAAGGTCTGCACCTGCATTCAATTTGGATTGAGAGCCATGAATACAAGAAATGTTCGTTCAACTCGAGCCTGGGCCATTCGTTCGTTGCCTTCGTGTTATTTCGAGGGCAGCCACAGGAAATTTGCGTCCTGTGTATGAACAAGGGTTTCTCAATTAGTCTCACGATCAGAATTTTCCATTATACGATAGCGCCCGGCGTGTTTGCTGATGTTGTCACGACGCGTCTGAGACGCGACCGTCACGTGGTGGCGGTGCACTTGCCCTTACTCGACGTGTCGCCCTGGTCGCACAAACTGTTCTCGAGCAGGCGGCGCGCGGAAGCGCGTGTCCGCCCCGCGATGTGGGCGTCCGTGGTACGCCCGGGCGTTCTGCGAGTAGTGCGTACGGCGTGGGGCGTGCAAGCGTTCTGGTCTCCAGGCCATGATGGCACGAAGGTGCCCCCCTCGCGTACGCCTCCTCGCGCCGTACTCGCGACGGATGTAGGTGCAAGGGGTGCTCGTGGGCTCGCAGGCGGCGAGCGAGGCGGGGCGAGCAGGGGCGCGGACGCAAATGCGCTTGCGTACTCTTCGACGGGGAGCATGTGCTGCGTTGTGTGCTGGACGCGGGGAAAGGCGGCACTGGCGTATCGAAGTGCACCAGCTTCCGCCGCCACAGTGTGCTCAGTCCCTCGCCGGAGGTCGTCGGCAACGACGGTGTCGTAGCCCGTGAGGGTAGGCGCGTATGTGCGAGCGCGGGCGGCGTCAAGAGGCACGGGAGATGCAGCGAACCTCGTTGTCGCGGCATAACTGGGAGTGTGCCGTCGATGGCGCGCATATGAAGTAGGATGGACCGCCGATGGCGGGCGGATGGTGGCCGGGAGAGTGTCGTAGAGCGCAGGACTCCCAGAAGTAGAGCTTCGTGGGCGCACAGATGCCTCGCGCCGCCGCTCCGGGAGACCGTGCCCACTACGTGTTCACGCAGCGGTGTATATTGCGCATGAGGTGCTGATTTCGCCGTGGACGGTACATTCCAGTAAGTCTGACGTGCTCTGGTACCATCTCCTCGTAGAAGCTCCTAATACCTTCGCTTCGTGGCCCTCCTGCTCCCGGCGATCTTGGTGGCACTGCGGCGCTGACTGCCCTCCTCTCTCGCGTCATCTTCCTTCTCCTCTCGTCTCCGCATCCTCGCTCGCCTCCCCGATAACGACCCTTCCTTCTGTAGAACCGCATGCGCGAGTCGCCCGACCTCCTCGAGTCGGTGATCAACTCGCGCTGGTTCCTCCGCGCGCGCGTGATCCTCTTCCTGAACAAGATCGACGTGTTTAAGCGCAAGCTGCCGACGATCCCGCTGGGGCGCTACTTCCCCGAGTACGTGGGCGGGAACCCTAACGACCTACAGAAGACGGCGAAGTACATCCTGCGGAAGTTCATGCAGCGAAGCTGACCGTGTACCCGCAGTGCGTACCCCTTCCCTTCCCTCCCCATCCCCGGCTCGTCTCAGCCGTAGAGAGTATGCTGACGAAAGGCGTATAGTGTGACGCAGGCGACGAACACGAAGAACATCCGGCTCGTGCTCGCCACCATCAAGGAGACGATCCTGCAGAACGCGCTCAAGGACTCGGGGATCCTGTAGCCCGCGCCCCCTGGCCGCTTGGCCTGGAGGATGGTGAGAGCACGGGCTACAGGATCGACTTATCAATTATGATTGAGTGGCTGGACTGGGTGGCGGCTTGCAGCGTCCGCGCACGCACTGGCGTATGCGTATCCCCTCGATACCCCAGCGGATACCCGCGCCGCGCGTGCTAATAGACCGCACGGGCCGCGCAAGCGCACAGGGTCTTCTTTCTTTATTCGCTGCTCTGGTTTTCGGTCTTGGTTTCGGCCTCGTTGTTGCTTTCCCTCTCTCTCTCCCTTGGTTATCTTCATCTGGGTTTCATCCCTCTCATCATCTATCCCTGTGGTCTCTCTCATCTAGCACATAAGGTCTCTCCCGATTTATTGCGTATCTGCTACGTGCTGCTACATATGGCTTATTTACTTAGTTGCCTACTTACTTATTTCCTTACTTACGCTGTGACTCGTAATGCCATGCGCGCAGCAATGGCCCTAAAAGCCACGTTGAATCTGTAAGTTCGCATCAGAACACTTGCAAGGTTGAGTTCTAAAAACTTCGCGGTCCACACAGCGTGAGGGAAGGTAACAACATTGGACTCCCAGGAGAGAATCGGGCGGCTGTACGTATGTATTCCAATAACCCATTTAACTAAATTGCTTCACTGACTCTAAATCGGAGTCACTGCGTTGACTCGGTGCACCCGCCATAGATATATTATTACATTTAAGATGAATGACGGAATTTCTTCGTGGTCTGCGACTAGGTACGACCCTTTATCTCCGCTCTATTTGTCAGGTAGAATACGTCTTCAAAGGTGGTTGGATGGAGGCATCGATAACGTAGGCATTAAATGACGAGAGCGAGAGACTTCAGAATCCAAAAATTACTGTCCTGGGACCAGTACTCTAATTTACATCAATGGTGCAAAGCGAGAGCACGAGGCAACAAGCACGGAAATCATGGCTCCGAATTTACGCGAAGCGGTGGACGGTGCTCTAGTTGCATCGACTCGATGCCAACATTCTGAGGAGAATTAAATACAGGGCAGAGAAGGCGGAAATTCCAGGACGTACGTATTTGAAATTCGCCGGTGGATGGCTAGCAGCCGGCGCGTTTACGGATTCCTCTCCATGTACCCGCCGCATGTTTTGTGATGTGCTCTCGGTATCATACCCGTCAACGACATCGAATTCCAGGCCCGTCATTATTGACCGGGCACCCTGCTGACTCCGCGTGCGGGTCGTATCTATTATTCTGGTCTCCCGTCGGAAATGGATACCAACGAGGAAGTTCGCGAGGAGGGTAAGTGAGTAGATCCGGCCTTGGCAGGAGAAAAAGAAGTCGAAGGCTGGGATATACATTCGCTTAATGTTTATTTCCTCTGGAACGAATAACGCACCTGAACTGTGTTTCAGGAGTAGCCCCATCATGATTAGTGTGTTGGAGGCCACGACGAGTCCCGAGCTAATGACGAGCAGAAGAAACTTGCGGACGAAACTGGTAATGTGCTCTATTAGTTGAACACCAAGCTAGCGGTTATGGATGCGGTACCTGTGGGTGGATGTTATCACTTCTGTGGGACTCAACACCTTCCAAAATTTGCACCCTAAGCAAAATGCGAGGCAGATGTCCGTTGCAGCGCACGTTATCGCCGCGACACTGAGGGAAATATGAGTGTCTGAAACCCCAGCATGTCGACGTACTTGCGTTGTGGTCGTCAATGAAGCGCTCAGTTCTGAATTGAGCACTAGGATCAAACCTCCCGATGCAAATGCAAAACCCATCTAAGAGGTGAACCTGAGTCTCGCGTCCAAACTGAGTCCTTGAGCTCACGTGGACTAGAATCAGGATGGCCAGACACGCGCTGATAAAGGGCTTCCCAGTCCTACGATCACATATTGTCGGCAATACCGAAAAAGTAATGCAACCAACTTACAAAGAAAAAAACAAATGACACAAGATGACCTGCTCTATCGCAGCGGTGCAGTACGTCGTGAAGATAGCAATGGATGTGGGGGCCAGAGAAGCAGCGAGATTGCCGCCGAGCGGTACGGCGAGAAGAACGAAAGAGACATTGACGCAGATTGTCAAAGTGCAGATGGTGTCAAAGAAAACCAGAGCGCCCACACCAAATCTGTAAAGGAGCGGGCGATTTGGGCGTTGGAAATATCGTCTGCACAGCACAAGTTCCAGTGTGTAGAGACCAATATTGAGCCATGACGATGCCAGTAATAAGCTAACCGAATCGCGTGAAGTAAGCCGGAATCGCTTGCATTCGTAGAAAACGCACGCATTGGGCACTAGGGAACTGGCCATGGACCGGGGGCTACACAGAGTAGAGAGACATTGGCAGACTCACGTCACTCGAACTCAGTTTTTATGCCCCACCCAGTGCTTGACCGACGGGCTGACTGACACCTCGGAAATATCATTGACCGGCGGATCAACCATGTGAATACGGCACCTTGAATTGGTACTTTGTTATTCATTTATCCGTTGGTGGCAACTTGGGAATGGCTTCGTGGTTGCCGCAGTTCCTATGGCAGTCCAAATTAAACTTTCACAGTAAATGTCTGCAAATTCTCGACACCAGGAGACGCCATCCCATCGTGCGCGGAAACTTTAAATATTTATAGAGTACCTATACGGCGCTTTGGCTCCGATGCTCCGAAGGCAGCGGGAGAACGAACCCACGCTAAAATTAGATTACTCAGGGATGCCCTCGGAAACAGTTTCGGGCATACCAAAGCTGGATTAATCGCTTTTATGGACTATGGTCGCGAGATTGTGAACTGCCCAGTGCCTAACGAATGGTTGATCGGAAGAACAGGTACTGGCCGCCTAGCTCGATTTCGGCTACAATGACAGCCTGAGATAGAACTTTTCCGTTTTTTTTTTCTATTGTGTTTTTCTTTTGGTGCACTGCCAGTGGCAGCTCCGCCCTGGTTCGGCACGCAC